ACAGCCACACTGAATTTAGCCATTGCATTTCTCGAGAACGAGCCCACACCGAGTGAAGCTGTCAAACGTGTCTTCTACCATTTAGGTACAAATAACATAAGTGGAAATTCCACTGAAGAAATTAAAACTAAACTTGACACCCTGAAGAATAAGTCCACAGAAAAATATCCAAACGCCATCCATGATAGGTTTCTGTGAAATCCCGACGAACCACCAAACGCCGACTGCCAAAATAACCGACATCAACGACTACATCAAATCCATGGGTGCGACATTCCTCGACGTAGACGCAAGAGACCTAGGTTTTTTCACGCGAGACGGGTTGCATTACAATAAAGGTGGTCTTGGACGCTTGGCTGCAACCATCAAGAAATGGGCGAGAGAAAACGGGCACACGTACGAGGCACCTCCAGGAAACCAAAAACAACGCCGTTATCAGGAGACCCGGCCATACAAAAAAGGACGAAATATACCGTGGAAGCAAGCAGATCCATCGCAGCAGTTACTCAACCTACTGCTGGCAAGCCTTGGCAAAAGTTAAGCAGCTTCATGCCTTATAACTTTTTTAAGACCAACAGCTAAATATTTCTCTGAGACCTACTTTAACTTTATATTACCGCGATAATCAGTGAGTATTGTAATTGTCTTACAGGCTAAAACCGACCAATCAAACGATCTCGAATACAAAATTAAATATCAAATCAATTAAATCTACCATCAAAATTCGATATTATTTGTTTTCAAGAAACATGGGCAAAAGACGAGTCATTAGTGTTTCAAGATTACAAAGTACATTCAACCGTACAGAACACGACAAGCAAGTGAGATCGAGCAGGAGTGTCTGTTTTAATAAAGAATAAACATTCAGACTTCTTTTCCCACATTAAAAGTGCATCCTCAAACATAATTTGGAGTCTTCTAAAAGGACATTTATTTGGTGTATATTCCGACATTTATCTAGCGGCGGTTTATTTACCCCCACTTCAGTCTCAGCGAAAAGCGGGCGAAGACGTCCTTTGCGTTTTAGAACAAGAAATACACAAATTTTCCGCACCAGGCCAAATTATTTTACTTGGTAATTTCAATGCTAGGATTGGAACCTTGAATGACTTTATCGAAAATGATTGTCAAGATTTTATAGCAGCCGATAACGCATATAATCTTGATAAGAACTGGCCAAAACGAAACAATGCGGATTACAGCTTGAACAAATTAGGAGGCGAGACATAACGATTGTGTATGGGAAATAAACTGAGGATATTTAACGGCAGAGTTACAGGTGATCTAGACGGAAACTTAACATCGTATCAATACAACGGGGCAAGCACCGTTGATTACGGAATAGTCAGCGAAGATCTTCAAAACACAGTGTTAGGATTTCAAGTACAAGCTTTGACACCATATTCTGATCACTGTCCTATCACTCTTAAATTGGCTTGTTGTAATCGTGGCATCATGTACAGCAACAACGCCCCAAAAGAACGTCCAAAAACAGAGGCATCCTCGCGAAACTGCTTCACCAAATTTCTTTGGAAGCCAGAATCCAAAGATAAATTCATAAGTACATTGTCGAGCTTTAATATTCCAAACAGGCTTAAATCTCTTAGTGCAGAACACCATAGTTCAATAGATGATGAGATTTCACAGTTCAAACAAATACTAAAATCAGTTACAGAACTTAGCCTAGTGCCATCACGCAGTAAAACGCGTAAAAAGATAAAAAAAAAA